GAAATACAAAAGAATCTGATGGAGACTCCTCAGGATAAAAATCTATAGCAGCAAGAAAGAGAAGCAATACGAGATTATGTGGAAGTTAGTGACAGGGCATACAGTTATTGGAAACAGAAATCAAAGGAGCTTTGGATTCAAAAAGGAGACTTAAACACAACATATTTCCATGCTGTGTTGAGGCAGAAGAGACAAAGGAATAGGATTCTCTCCTATGTCAACCAAAATGGTGTATTAGTGGATGATTGGCAGGCAGTGCAAGAGCATTTCTTGAAATACTTTCAGCAGCTGCTGGGCACTGAAACTGACAGGATAGCAGTAAAACAAGAGGTGTGCAATGATGGTCCAGGCCTAACATTAGAGCAGCAAGTGGAGTTGATAAAAGAGGTATCAGAAGAAGAGATAAAAACGACAATTTTTTCTATCAATGATGCCAAGAGTCCAGGCCCCGATGGCTACAATAGTGGCTTTTATAAGAAGACATGGCAAATTGTAGGGAAGCTCACCAGTGAAGCAGTTCGGGAGCTCTTCACTACTGTAAAGCTGCTGAAACAGACCAATGCCACTATGATTGCCTTAGTGCCGAAAAATGAGTCCCCTAAGACAGCAGCAGAATTTCGACCAATCTCATGCTGTAATACATTTTACAAATGTATTACAAAGATTTTGAGCAATCGGTTGTCAAGGATGATGCCTCGATTGGTGGAGCAAAATCAAGGAGTCTTCATTAAGGATAGGCTCATTATTCACAATGTTCTGTTGACCCGGGAGATGGTACAGCTTTATAACAGGAAAAACGCCTCACCAAGGTGCATCATGAAGGTTGACTTGCAGAAGGCATTTGACTCTATAGACTGGCAATTTATAGAGGAAATGCTAACCGCATACAAATTTTCAGTTAAGTTCATTCGGTGGATCATGGAGTGCATAACTACCTGCAGTTATTCGCTAAGTATGAATGGGGGTCTCACAGGTTATTTTGCTGGGAAAAGAGGAATTCGGCAAAGGGACCCTATCTCCCCTTTGCTGTTTGTACTCAGTATGGAGTATCTTAGTCGACTGTTCAAGTTTGAAATCTCAAAGGGAGGATACAAGTTTCATCCAAAAAGTGCAAAAAACTGCAAATCACTAATTTGTCTTTTGCAGATGATCTGATAATACAGTGCAAAGCTGAGCAGAAGATGGTGCAGAGGGTTAAGAATGTGTTGGACCAGTTCTCAGCAACTACAGGTCTCAAAGCAAATCCAGGGAAATCACTTGTCTACTGTGGAGGGGTTACTAATGTTGTTAGAGAGGAAATCCAAAGCATCACAGGTTTCAGTAGAGGAGACTTCCCATTGAAGTATCTGGGTGTACCACTTTCCCCTACTAAGTGGAACAACCTGGATTGTGAGGTATTGCTGGACAAAATAGCGACAAGAATTAGGTGCTGGACTACTAGGCATTTGAGCTATGCAGGAAGGGTGGTATCGATAAATTCTGTCCTACTTACAATGCATGTCTACTGGTCTACTATCTTTATCTTGCCTAAAAGTATTATAGATCAGGTTATAAAAGTTTGTAGAGAGTTTCTTTGGGGGAAAAAAGAAAATGGTAGGATTCTTGCCTTGGTAGCTTGGGATGATTTGTGTAGACCAAAGAAGATGGGGGGTCTTAACTGTAAAGAACCTTTGGCCTGGAATAAAGCTGCTATTGGTAAGCAACTATGGGGCTTGGCAGTAAAGAAGGACAGCTTGTAGGTGAAGTGGTGCCATGAACACTACCTAAAAGGGCAGTCAGTGTTGGACTATCAACCTGCACAAGGGGTTTCTTGGCATTGGAAGAAACTAATGGGACTCAAGGAGGATTTCAAAGATTTGATGCTAAATGATAGAAGGATTTCTGAACAGTCACAGGGATGTACTATTAAGATGGGTTATGAGTGGCTGAGAGGTCCTGGCCAGAAGATGCAAGAAGCTGGAATAATTTGGAACATATGCAATCTGCCAAAACATAGCTGTATAATGTGGTTGGTGATGAAAGGGAGATTGCTAACAGCTGATAGAATGGTTAAAATGGGCATACTTGATGAAGGTAAAAGCTGCTGTTTGGGTCAAGAAGTGGATGAATCACTTGATCATCTATTTTTCCAGTGCTCTTATTCAAAAGAAGTGGTGAAACAGATTAGAATATGGCTGGATTGCAGTAGGATACCTGATAAACTAATGTAGGGGACTACAAGATTGCTGAATATCTGGCAGCACAGTGAATGCAAACAAGGAGTGATGATGGCTGCTGTAACTACTGCTGTATACCACATCTGGCAGCAAAGAAATGCGATAGTTCATGGAGGGAAACTGCTTACTGTTGAAAATATTGTTGAGTGTATAAAACAGGAAATAGGGGTGAGGACGCAGGAATGTTGTAAAAAGTATAGGCTGAGTGAAAAAATGTTCTTAGAAAGCAAAGGTTTGAAACTGTATAGAAATGGTGATGACTTGTAATAGATTTCAGGGGTTGTAAAACAGAGTTACATGTTTTGAGATGTTAATACAATTAGCCTTTCATAAAAAAAAATAAATAAATTAAGTGTCGGAGAAAATTTATCTCTCTACAAGGGTATGTTTATGATAATTTGATTGAGTAGGCGTGATGCTGTTTGTTTCAGAAAATCTTATTGGTTGTGGCTTTTGTGAAAATTTTGCTTGATCATTAAAATGTTTAATTTTCTCTGACACATAGATGAGATATATACGTTGGAAAATTCAAAATTAATTATATGATATATCTTTGGCTTTGGATCAGTTGCAATTTGCTATGAGTTGGTTTAATGCTCACGGTTACACAAGATTATTGAGGCGAATTTTTCACGCTAAACTTTTGAGATAACCATAAAGAATTGAAGAAGCACTCATTTTGGTTGTATTAATTGTCTAATTAATAATTTTTATATTAATTATTTATGAAGCCTCTTAGCTTCTAGAAAAAAAAAAAATTTTAACTGATGGACAGATTGATTTCGATGATTTCATTCAAAGGGTATTTCAATCAGCCCGGCAATAGTGCCAACTGAATGGAAATTGATGCATTTCAACTACTATCTTTCTGCAACGTGTGGGGTCAAGTTAATCCAAGTAGATAATAGTTAATTGGAAATTAAATTATTGTTGTCCAAGTGCTATAGTATAGTAGTACTTGAGGTTTGGATTGATTACAGAATGATAATGCGCATACGGTGATGTATGGATAATAGTATGAGTTTACGTACTTAACTACATTTAGTTTTGCAAATTTAATAAGTGTGCCAAATATCCAAATTTTGACACAGTAAATGTCTTTGTTTTTTTCTGTTGTATTACATGCTCAAGATTGGGATTTCTTTTTGAGCATAATGTATACACATTGGAGATCGGGAAATTAAAATAGACAATAATTAGATGTTACCCGCACGATGTGCGGGGATTTTTCATATGCAAAATGAACGTATTTTATATCTATATATAGGAAAAAATTAAAATTATTAATATATTAAAGACCGCATCAAAATGGAAGTATACAAAATGTTAAAGAGAGCTGCAAAGATTAAAGTAAAATATAATTATTTTATTAAATTCATATATATTATTACTGTTGTTAACTTTTATTACAAACAATTATGAAGAAAAATATTTTTTTTTTTAAAAAAAAAATCTCATATTTGTAAATATTTGGATGAAAAAGTCCAAAGGTTAATCTCATATTTACATCTAAATGTAATGTTTACCAGAGGCTTGCATACATTAAACACTGGAACTAATTCTCGTTAGAAAAGCTAAGTCTTAATTTTTCAAAATTGTATAATGATATCTGCACACACACACACACATACACACACACATGTGTGTGGCTTGATCATTATTTCTCTTTCTTTTGGCTTTTCCTTCATCAAACTCTGTTTCACTATGGTATACAGAAAAAATTATATATATATATATATATTTACTTTAAACACGATATTGCCATTTAAAAAAAATCAACAACCCAGAATACAAATTAAAAAATTAATGTTACAATTTTTTGTTGGCCGTACCTTTCTAATAAGAAATTCAAGGGACGATGATTAAGATAATAGTGGAATACGGAATATGAGACAATAGAATAATAATAATAAAACTCTCTCTAAACTTTTCCTCCCGCCTCTCTCTAAATCTCTTTTGCCGGTTTCACAACATTCGGCTTGTCCACAACCACCATGGCTGGAGATCAAGCCGGGGAGGACCCCACTGGTCCTCCTCAAACATTTGCAAGCTTTTTCCAAAAAACCCCCGGATCTTGTGTCTAAGGATTTGCTAATCAAGGAGGTCAAATTCATCAATGGGGCGCCCGTGTTGGAATATGAAGATGAAGAATATGACAAATTGGTTGCTCCGCATCAACTAAGTCTGATAGGCAAAATCTCTTATGGTCGTCCAAAAATGGAGGAGATTCATAAAGAATTCAAAAAATTAGGGTTCCACAGAGGTTACACGTTAGGGCTTATGAACCCTAGAAACGTTCTCATTAGGTTCAAAAAGGAAGAACATTATCAGCGGTGTTGGATTCGGAGTTTTTGGATTATTGCCGGTTTCTTTGTTAGAATTCTCAAATGGAGACCCGAATTCAAATATGAGGAAGACTCTGCAATTGTGCCTATTTGGGTTTCACTCTTTGATCTCCCAATAGAATTTCTCAATCCGAAGGTTATTTTTTTGATGGCTACTGCGATTGAAAAGCCCTCGAAGGTAGATGCTCCAACTTTGAATATGACAAGACCGTCAGTCACACGGTTCTGTGTAGAAGTTGACCTCACAAAGGAATTTCCCAAATCTATGAAGGTGGGGAAGAAGGGGAAGAAGCATGATTAGATCTTCACATATGAACACATTCTAGATTATTGTTCCAAATGTTGCAAAATTGGTCATAAGAAAGAGGAATGTAGAACCGAAGGTTCGCAAGCCTCCAAACCCGTGGACCTTAACAACTTCTCTTTTCTTGCATTGATTATGGAGGTGGATTGTGAACTTGATTCTGATGATGAGTGTATTGAAACTGTATTGGTGGAGGGGTCTCCTAATAAGGCTGCGGAAGTACTCAATTCACAGTTCGCTCTCACTTTATTTCCTCCAAACAACTTGCCGCGGAATGGTGTATTTACGGATGATAACTCCATTGGTTTAAGCAGCCAATCTGTTGAAGAGGAAAAGGATGAGGTAGATGATATAGACGAAGGTACATGGTTTGAGGATCATAAAGAAGGTGCTACAATGAAGGATGATGGTGAATTCTCTGTGCCAAAGAAATCGGGACGGAAACCAAAGTTGGAAATAACTAAGATGCATCATGGTACTTTCTTGCGTCGGTCTGATCATTTGAGTTGATCTCCTACTTATTTTTTTTCCAGTGATAAGTCAAATCATTTGGAATATTCGACGTATCAAAAATCAAACGTCGCAACGGCGTTTGAAATCTCTACTTCGAATGTATAATGTTTCGTTCTTGATTATTTTAGAGCCTTTGTTTCCAGTTCATAGTTTAGAAGAAATAAGAAGAGAGTTGCAATTTGATGCGGCTTTTGCTTCTGCTACCAGTAAAATGGGTTTTTACTAAGGTTGTTTTTGTTGTTACACTATTGGAGGAGAATGAACAAGTAATGCATTTCAAACTTGTGCACCCTTCAATCGCACATCCCTTCTTTGTGTCGGAAGTATATGCGAAGTCAAGAAGGGCTGACTGAATGGCTTTATGGAGAAGTTTGGTTGATTCTCGTCATGAATATCCGGATGTTCCTTGGATGGTTGGAGGAGATTTCAATGTAATTCGTTATCCTGATGAATATTCAAGTAACTCTGTACAGAATTATGCTGCCATGGAGAATTTGAATGAAAGTATTCAGTCATGTGACTTGCTAGAATTGCCTAGGGGGAGGAATATACTCGGGGTGGAACTCGTCAAACGGGTTGGGTAAGTAAGAAGTTGGATAGAGTATTATTTTCAGGGGAATGACAAGATCTTTTTCTTCTATTGAAAACTTAAATAGAACAACTTCTAATCACTGTCCAACGTTGCACTTGTTTGCGGTGCAAGGGGAACGCAAACCAAAGTTGTTCTGTTTTCAAAAAATGTGGCTACGGCAATCTAATTTTTTGTCTATTGTTAAAAAAAGTTGGGAGCAGCTTGTTGAAGCTTTTGGTATGATAGGGTTTTCGATTAAAATGCGAAGACTTAAGCTGAAGTTAAAGGAGTGAAATAGAAGCTCTTTTGGGGATGTCTTTGAGAATCTTAAAAAGGCGGAGGAAAACGTTCAGGAGCTTGAGATGAAATGTGATGAAGCAAGAGCTGAAATAGATAGATCAAACCTTCATCTTGCAAATGCCTTTTTGTTGCAAAAGCTTAAAGAGCATGAGGATTTCGTAAGGCAAAAAGTTAAGGTTAAATGGATAAAGGAGGGTGATGCCAATACTTCTTTCTTTCATGCTTCGTTAAAAGAAAGAAGGGTGAGACAAAGTATCCATAAAATCAAGTCCAGAAATGGTGATATGTTTAGTAGATATGAGTTCTATTGAAAAAGAGGCGGCTGAATTCTTTCAGGAGTTTCTTATGGGGAAAGGGAATATGAATAATATGGAAGCTCAAAATATTTTTTTGCAGCACATTCCGTGCATGCTTGGGGAGGTTGATCATGGGTTTTTGTTGCGGCAAATTATGATAGAGGAGATCAAGGATGTGATTTTTAGTTTAAATGAAGAAAGTGCATCGGGTGTGGATGGATTTGGAGGCACATTTTATCGAAGTTGCAAGAGGATCATTGCTAATGATTTATGGTTAGCTTATCAAGAGTTCATGCTTGGGGTTCTTGCTAGCACTTTGCTAGCACTTTGATTACTCTTGTTCCTCAAAAGGCCGCGGTTCTTGGACTTTCGCCCAATCAGCCTTTTCAACTTCTTGAATAAAGTATTTACTAAAGTGATTACTGAGAGGCTGAAAAGTGTCTTGGCAAGGCTAATTTCGAAAGATCAATCAGCCTTTCTTGCTGGTCAGGATATTGTTGATAATGTACTATTGGCTCAAGACTTGTGTCAATTCATAGATTGACTCAATAGTTTAGATATGAATGGTTAATCATATTGATTCATCATGTGAGTACATATATAGATGAATACATAACTGATGATAACGATTGACTCCTGCTAACTATTTATCCTTAGCTACACATTTCAAATTCAAGTATATTTATCAATTGAGATAAATATTACAATAGAAGATAAATACAACTCTAACACGCCCCCTCAAATTGAAGGCGGTAAATTTAAGAGCCAATGTTTGTCGGAAAACTTGTTGAAAAGATGTTTGGCTACTCGCTTGGTAAGGATGTCGGCAATTTGGTCCGCTGCAGAAATTGAACGAACCGCTACTAAACCTTGCTGCACATTCTGGCGGATGAAATGAAAGTCCACTTTGACAGGTCTTGTACGGGTGCGATAGGATGAATTGGAGGCCAGGAAGACAGCTCCGTTGTTGTCGCACCAAACTATTGGTGGAGCTCGTAGCAGAACACCAAGTTTAGAGAGTAGAGCTTGCAGCCAATGTAACTCGACGCAAACATTTGCAATGGACCTAAATTCTGCTTCAGTGGAGGATCTCGTAACAATAGGCTGCTTGCGTGAAGTCCATGAAATTAGGTTAGAACCAAGATAAATTAAGAATCCAGTTGTGGACTTGCAATCATCCGGGCAGCCTGCCCAATCAGCATCCGTAACAGCAGAGAGAGAGCGAATTGGGCCTGATTGAAGAAAAAAACCCCGATCAACAGTCCCTCGTAGATAACGAATAACTCGTTTGATAGCTTGCAAATGAACAGTCGTAGGGCAATGCATGAGTTGATAGAGCTTGTTGATTGGGAAGCATATGTCTGGACGAGTAATAGTGGCATATTGCAGGCTGCCACACAAACGCTGATAAGTCGCAACTTCATCAGGAGGAAGCGAGAATCCATCTTGGCACGAGAGAACAAGGCCAGAAACCATTGGCGTAGAACATGGTTTGCAAGAGCCCATGTTGGCGGATTTGAACATATCAAGAAGGTACTTCCTTTCAGAAAGAGCAATACCATGAGGTTGCTGTAATACCTCAATGCCAAGGAAGAGTCGTAGGCGACCAAGATCACGAATAGCAAACTCCGCAGCAATGCTATCGATGATACGCTGAACAAGTGAAGAATTGTTTCCTGTAAGAATCACATCATCGACATAGACTAGCAAAAAGCAAACACAATTAGGGGCGGAGTAGATGAACAGTGATGGATCACATTGAGACGCTTTGAAATGCAATGACAATAATAAGGAGCTGAGTCTGGAGAACCAAGCACGGTGTGGTCTTTTGGAATCAAAGAACCCCTGTGGTTGGACCATGTAGATGGTCTCTTGTAGATCACCATTGAGGAAGGCATTACTTACATCAATTTGTGAGAGAGACCAAGAATGAGCCACTGCAACGAACAAAACAGTCCTTATAGTGAGGGGTTTGACAACGGGGCTGAATGTGTCGGTATAATCCACACCGAAGGTTTGAGTAAACCCTTTAGCCACCAACCGAGCTTTGCATCGCTCAAGACTCCCATCAGGCTTAGTTTTGACCTTATAGAGCCACCGGTTGCCAACAACATTAGCAGACGGAGGGGGAGGAACAAGGGACCAAGTGTTATTTTTGTGAAGGGCAGTGATATCGTCTAGCATAGCTTGCTGCCATTGGGGTTGTGATTCGGCTTGAGCGAAGGAATGCGGAGCAGTGTGTAAGGTAGAGGGGATAGAGATAAGGTGTGCAAACTTAGTTTTGGCCAAAGTAGTGGGTCGCAAGGACATAGGGTGCGTGCGACCGGGACGGGAGGAAGGATCAGGGTTGTTGTTGGTGGTGACAGGAGGGTTGTCAAGATCAACAGTCATGTGTAAACCTGATCAATTAGGAGAGATGGTGGAGGTACTGTGAGGGGGAGTTGATGAGCAAGATGGAGGAGCAGAGGGAGAAGGCGACGCGGCGGAAGCGGAAGAGATGCGCAAGGGAGTTTGCGAAGGAGAGGAAGGCGGAGAATGAGTGTCAGAATTGGAATTGGATTGTGATAAGGAGGACTCGGAGTTGCAGTCATGGTTGGAGGGAGGAGGTTTAGTCGAAGGTGTTGAGGATGATGTGGGACTAGAAGTAGGGTTTAACGAAAGCGAAGGAAGGAAGGAGATATGTATTGGCGCAGAGGGTTGTGACAAAGGAGGAGTTTTAGTAGGAGACAAAGTCACAGTGGAGGTGGCGTTTGCAAATGGAAAAACAACCTCGTCAAATTGTACGTGACGGGCAACATAAATTCGGTTAGTGGAGATATCCAAACATCGATACCCAAGGTGAGAAGGAGAATAGCCCAAAAAAACACATTGTTTTGAACGGAAGGAAAATTTATTTTTGTTGTATGGCCTAAGATTTGGATAAATTGCATAAGCAAAAATTTTTAAAAATAAAAAATCAGGATGCTTTTGGTAAAGGACGGAGAAAGGGCAAATTCCCAAAAACGGAAGGGAGCACTAGAATGTCCTAAGAGTGCGAGACCAATATCGACAATTTGTCGAATTTTCCGTTTGGCGGTTCCGTTTTGTTCGTGTGTATATGGACAAGCAATTTTATGAGCAATTCCCCGATTTTTAAGAAATGAACTCAAAGATCGATATTCTTCCCCCCCCCCCAATCCGATATGACAGATTTAATGGTAGTTTCAAAATGATTTTCCAGTAACCGCTTGAATTGTTGAAAAACAGAACGAACGTCACTTTTATTTTTAATTGGACATATCCAAGTAAACAAGGAAAAGTCATCAATAAAAATGAAAAGTAATGATATCCATGGAATGAAAGAACCGGAGCGGGGCCCCAGACATCTGAATGAATTAAATCCAAAGGTTTTGACTACGATGCAAAGTTAAACGCAAACTAGAACGATAAAGTTTGCCCAAACAGTAGGCATGACATTTGTCGGAAGAAATTTTAAAGGAACGACAAGGAAGTTGAAATTTATTGACTAATTGCCTAACAATGGCATAACTGGGATGTCCAAGACGAGCATGCCATCATTCTACGTTGGCAAGAAAGATTGCAGGAGATGAAGGAGACCGGACGACTGAGGAGGGCCCGAACTTATAAAGGTTGGATTCAGTTTTTCCTTGAAGCAGTGTCACCTGAGATAACGGGTCCTTAACAACACAAGAAAAAGGGTGAAATTCAAAAAAGCAGTTATTATCTCGTCATAATTTTTGAACGGAGAGGAGTGGTTTGGTGAGAGAGGGGACACATAGAATGTCACGTAATTGAAGATTTCTATGAGGAGTAGGAAGAATGGAATGACC